CAAAAAAGAAGGAGCTGAGCATGAAAGAGAATGGAAACGCATTAGAATACTTCAGAAAAAAGAAGTACCTTGAATATATTGATCTCGGATAACAGGTTTACAATAGGTGAAACCAATTTCTGCGTCTCGTCAGACGATGGTTCAGGCCGGCTAGCAGCTGTCCACAAAAAAAATCGTAAAGAATTGAACACGGCCGTCACCATCCCTTGCTGCAAACAAGTGTCGTTTAATCATTACACTCGCAAACGCCATCGAATGGCTGCTGGTTGACAAACCAAAATAGCGACATCTCCCCCGATCTGATCGGATAGATTCGACCACTGTTCGACCAAATCCGATAGCAAACTATCGAACGCTTTCACATGAGGCGGAGCTTCAGTAGAGACAACTGAATAAAGTCTTTGACATGAGCATACTAAGCAGGTGAAAACTGCAAAGAAAAAATTGGAGATTTGATACGAAAATTCACCATTGTCATGTAATAAACGGTCAACCCTATCTGAGTCGCACTGGAATACAACCTTTTTTGAAGCACGTGGCCCTCCTTCGTGACTTTGACAAGAATACCATGAGCTGGAGTCGAACCGATTCTTTTATAATTATTTGACGAATCAGTACGAGAAGAGGACTGTGGATAGAAATCAGCTTCGCCTGCGTTATCGTATGAGGACATCGATGAGCTAGCGCTTCGATTTGACGACATAAAGTTGTTCGATATTGCACCGGGAGTGGGTGGCATAATTGACCGATCGTGCAGTAATCTACCTTCCTCTACAACTGGAGAATAATTTGGTTGAGGATGATATACTGGATTAGTAGAATCGGCTACATTTTGTAACGAAGCAAGTGGTGTTTGAGGTCGTGAGACAATAGCAAATGTCCTCTCTTTGGGACGACTCATTATACCTTGAGTTTCCTGTGAGTTTCTGTGGTCAAAATGACCATTATCAAGGTTATCGCTTAGATTCTTAAATCCTGTGAATACCTTTGACTGGGTGGGAGCGTACACAATATTCTCGCCAAGATCATTAACACTTTTGTATTCATGATACGACGACTGAATAAGGCGTGACGATGGGCCACTATCGATTGTCGCGATAGAAATATTAGAACACGAGGGCTTGTTTCCGTAAAAGAAAGATGGCCTTAGGCTGTTATGCTCAGGCATTGATGCACCGAAACAGCTATTCTCTTGGTTAGCTGCGCGAGGTAAAACCTCCATATTTTCCCATTTACGGAGAGGCATTTGTAAGTGAGCTATCTCCTCAGTTGAAAACTGTGGTGTAGAAGTAGAGATATGACCTCTCTTCTCGCTGTTTGTTATTTGCATTTCAGGTTCGGCGAATGAATAAATCTCTTTTGGAATCAACTGGTTGTCTCTGAACTTTCTGATCTTCGTTTCATCAAGTCTGGAAGGAGATATCTGGCAGACGTCCAAATTTTCGTCACACTTTCCCACTGAAGTAGGTACAAACATCGGTGTGTCGTTTACTCGAAAAGCGAATGGAGGAGGAGGATTGGTCATCCAACTTGGATCTTGCTGATGTTTCGACGCAAAGAATCCTTCTTTAGGAGCTCTCCATTTAAGAGACAATCCCTGTTTTCCACCTCTGTCGTATCGGCGACGATGTTCCTTCGTAGCAGATGAAAAACTCATTGTTGAAATATTTCGTGTAAGAGATAATCTAGGATCAAACTCATGAAAAATGGACGAGTCGGACTGCGTTTTATGCAAGTGTGGCGCAGCAACTTTGTATGATTGAATATGGTCATCTGTAGGAGATGGAACTTCATTCCTGCATAACATATGTGAGACTTTCTTTCTAGGTAGTGGATCAACTATTTCGTAAGAGTACAGCAAACCATCCGTCAGTTGCTTTTCACGTTCGTGATTTTCAATTTTTTCCTTTTGAAGTTGTAACCTTCTAAGAAATTGCTTAGAGTGAGAACGGTCAACCACTTGCGTTTCTCGTGGGTAAGAGGAAAATCTAGAGCTAAGATCATTTGATTGCGAGTCTCTCCATTTGTGAAAATCATTTGGCGAGATGTAATCATTAGAAGACATAGAGTGGATTGGGGATGTTGGCAAAGATAAATGGCTACGGACTTTCATAAGAGGATCTGTATTGTTGCGTCGATAATCGCTGGACGAGATGCCATTGGTCTTGATTTCAGTTAAGGTTGTATGAGAAACGAACATAGCAGGGTCGTGGTATATAGAATCGGTTTCGTTTTCAGATGGATGAAGAGAAAAAGTTGACTTTGCTTGTGTACCAAGTCTTCGATTTAACGGTCGATAGCCCATCGGGAACCTATTGTACGGTCTAGGGACGTTCAGGAATAGTAGATCCATAGACACAGCCTCATAAGGCAACAACTACGACTCGAACCACAGGAGAACAAATATCAACCTTTCCATTTCCGTTCGTGAACTGAAAAAATGACACCATTGCATCTACTCTATACTTGGTGATCTTTTAAGATCAATAAAACGAAAACGGTGCTGCAAAGAATGAGGCACAAATAATAAAAGTGAACATCGAGTGTAGAACGATTATACATAAACGAAACGACGTAGATATTGTTTAAAGCACGAAAGGTGGGAGAGGTGAGGAGGAGATTTCCGCGAGATAGCAACTGTTGGGTACGAATGCGCGCACTGGATCTCGCTTGCGGTTGGTTTATGATAAATGAATGAATCGGTGACGAAACGATATCCAAGCTATCCTCCGCCATGTTACATGGACACTCGATCAATATGATCTGACTATATGAAAAAGTATTTACATGATCCATTTTTACGAATAGTTACTAATATAATGTCTCATTTCTGGTGAATGAAGCGAGAGCCACCCACCCATTCGATCGATTCAGAAATGAGTCGGTAACAAGAAAACTTACATGTTGTCGGATGTCGGAATAGAATATGATTCTTCGAGATTATACGTCGACGAAGGGCCATGACTGAATGCTAGATGGAATGCGTCACGTTAACATTACATTATCGGAGAAACGTGGTCGGTCGACGTTAAATGACTCATACTTTGTCTTTGTTCATGAATGTTATTTACTTCAGCATGACGTCAACCACATATAGAATCACCTTCTCACTCTGTACAGTGAATCACTCGACTCCGTTAACCTTCACTGTTGGTTGAGAACACCGATAAGGTCATCGTTTTTTTTCCAAGTAAGAACAGTTCCACCATGGCAATCCATAGTCCGTCTCGCATTGATTATGAGACATATTCATGTATGAAAAGATAAAGCTCTAGACGTTGATCAATCCATGAAAAATGCTCCATGCATTCGTCTTCAACTTTTGATTTCGTTTGCGATGACTGGATGTATAAATGGCCTTTACGGTGGCTGCGGTGACCTAACGATGTATCAAGTGAAATCTGCTGCCAGGATGGAAAGGTTGGTGAGCTATGAGCGTGGGACCGGACCATCAACCTGGTTTGTGACGCAGAGTACTTCTAATCGTTGCTTCACATCCGCCTCATATACGCAAAAGGATAAATAAGCTTTCGGAGTTGATAAATCCTTGAGGGATGCGCCATGCACTCGTCTTGAATCTTTACCTACGTTTGAGGGTGATTGAATGCTCCTGGCCTTTACAATGACAGTGGTAGCCCATCGATGGTATCGAGTAAGTGCTGCTTATCACCCTAGACAAGTCTGGTACAAATTTACCGACATCGGAGGGATAGATGACTTGCTGAGCTAACGACGCGGGATCAAACCATTGACCTCGTGTGCGACCCATATCACTTGTAACCACTGCGCTACATGCGCTCCTCACATACATACACTTGCGTGTATACGCATATATGCATCTATACATGTATATTTTGGTTATTGAAAGACGAATGGGTTGAAATCTAGCCTTACCAGATTCGCCCAAATTCTTCGGTTTCCGAGCAATCGGTGGAGCGGTGGCGCGGAGATTTTCCAGATTTGCCGTGACGGTTTCCAATCTTGTCACCAACTTAGCCAACTGTTCCATAAGTGTTTCGAGTTCCAACAGCTTGTCTAAGATAGGGTTCGTAAATTATTTACAACAAAACTAGAAGTTAAAATAAACGAGATGGAGAGAGACGATGTACAGAGAAACACAGACAGACATAGACAGACAGACAGACAGAGAGACAGGCAGACAGAGAGAGCGAAAGGGCGAAAGCGACATCAAAAATACGCGGGAAAACTGGATCTGAGACACTAGTTGGTGGAATTAGAAGAAGTTAGCATAAGGTTGAAGAAATATATCGTCAAATATGTTCATTTATACCCTATATCACAGAAAAAGTGACGCCAGAACAAGAGCCTCCATAGCGCAATTCGTTAGCATGAGCCGCCGGAACGGTGCGATTAGGGTTCGATTCCCGCTTATGAGGTTCAAAGGTTTGCTCATATACGACGCCTCTTCCCTCTATACAAAGAACAAAGTAAAAGTTGAACTAAGAGGTAAAGTCACAGTTGAACTGAACGCGTATTGACATTTCGCCAAAATTATCTTCGTAGATCAAGTAATATTTGACAATTTTCGTGATATACTTGTACTTTAAGTTAATCTATAATCGATTGGCGATAAAAAACAAAAAGGAAAACTTAGAAATTCTAAGAATACCGGATGCAACACTCATTTGCTTTTAGCAAATAGTGCGATCAATCGTTTGAGACCTCCTCTTCCTCGATTCCTCCTTTCCTCCTTTCCTCTCCATCCTCCCCTTGGCACAGCAATACTCATTGATTCCGAAGTGAAATGAACGAAAGCAGAGGAAAATCACGAAAGCCAAAAAAGAGGAAAATGACTAGAGAGAAAAGAAAGAGGAAGGAAGGCAAAGCAGCTTCGCAGATGATTTCAGCGGCAAACGACAATCAGAAGCATAGAGTTCAAATGGAGCACGGAATCTCCGATTCGGCGATGATTTACACTCGACATTACTTGCTTATTTATGTTATTATACCTAAGAGAATTGAGTGATGAGCAAAAACAAGGCCCCAGGCGGGAATTGAACTCGCGTTTCATCCAGACCAGGGACTCGTGCTCTACCACTACGCCACCGAAGCCGCAATTACATCACCATTCATTCTTCAACAATTCTATGTTAGTTCTCAACCACAAATCTTCAACAGGTGGCCGGGCATACGATTTCGCTTTGAAAACTAAGAGAATTGAGTGGTGAGCAAAAATACGACCTGAGGCGGGAATCGAACCCGCGTTTCATCCATGCCGAAGGTGCATGCCTTACCACTTCACCACCGAGGCTGTCAACTCAACTGGGGTTTGTAAAGCCAAATCGCATACCCGACCAAACCTGCTAAAGGTTGGTGATTAATAGCTAACATAGAAATGTTGAAGAATGAGTGGTAGTGCTATTGTGCCTCGGTGGTGTAGTGGTAGAGCACGCGTTCACGGTATGGATCAAACGCGGGTTCGATTCCCGGCTGAGGTCGTGTTTTTGCTCACTACTCAATTCTTTTAGGTGCTTACGAAACATCATAACACTGCGAAAAATGCAGCTGAAATACTAGGAATTTCGAGTATTACTTATCTATTTTATTTACACGACCCGTCATCACAACTTTTTTTTGTGCGGATCCCAGTAATTCTAGCATTCAATTTGTTCGATCGTCTTTTTCTTGAATGACGTAGAATACTGGTCGAGCATGTCTCTTTGCAATCTTGAGAATAGCCTGGCTGTGTGGCGTTCCATGTGACATTGTTGTTGACTGACAGAGAGTTTGGAGGATGAAGCTCAGCTTCGCGAGCGCCCCAACGAGCATCACAACCACTCGGCCACTGTGTCCTCGGCATTACTTATTAAATTGGCGAAAAAGTATCTACGGTTTATGCATTGTGTTGAAATTTGCCTTTTGTTACTGAAATATACTCTTAAATAAATGCGATTATGTTATGAATATATCAATGCGCATTTCTCGTTTTTGTTTTGCAGCTAATGAGTGTAATAAAAAGGATAAAAGGATGAAGCTCTCGGTGTTGATTACTTCCTTAGGGATACGCCATGCATTCGCCTTCAATTTTTAGCTTCGTCTGAGGTGAATGAATGCATCTCTGGCCTTTACAACGACTCGCGGGTGGCCTACCGCTGTATCGACTCCAAGCTTCTTATCTTGCCAGATAAGTCTGAGATCAGTTAATACCAATTTACAAGCTCGGAAGGACGGATGGATTGGTGAGCCCTAAGAGCGAGATGGAACCATCGACCTTGTATGCGACGTAGAGCACCTCTAATCACTGCGACACGTGCGCTCATTAATTTTCGGTTTATCTTACACTTATTTTAGACTATGAAAGGGATGTTTGACAAAAAGAAATCAAGCGAATTTCTTATCCGAGTTTAAAATGGGTCGTAAAGTAGCAGAGACAGCTCGTGATATCAATAACGTATTTGGCCAAGTAACTGGTAACAAACGTACAGTGCAGCGATGGTTCAAGACCTTTCGTAAAGGAACGAGAGACTCGAATATGAGGAACATGGTCTCTGACCATGGGAAGATGACAATGACTATTTGAGAGCAATCACCGAAACTAATCCCCCGAGACTACAGAAGGTGTTGCAGAAAAACTCATCGTCGACAAACCTCTCCTATTGACCGCTTTTTGTAGAAACCCGCTCTAAATGATATAATCATTTTGAGCAGGTCTATGAAATGTAATCATATCATTACGGTTTTAGACCGCCAAAAAATCTAGAGTCACTTTCGTACCAACCTTGACTAATCATACTCGTTTCAGTCGCTGATATTTACTCTCCTCTATGAATAAGGACTGATAAATTAGGGAAAACAAACAGAATGGCTTAATCAATGAAATCGCTCTCCCACTATTACATTGTGATATTTGTTCAGCAATGTGACTAATGCAACTAAAATTGAGAGCAGTCTTTTATGATTCAAAGATTGGAAATACAGTACTGAAAATATTAATAGTTATTGACTGGTAGGATGAACGGTGTCGAACGTTTGGAACAATTTATGATGAAAATTTGAATGATTCTGGATGCCTTAGTGAATTCAAAAAAAAAGCCCTTTCTGATAAGGAGACCCAAGTGGAAAGCTATGCGGTAAGCGTTTGGCAGTGCAAGACTTGTCACTCAACTTTTTTTTTTGTTAATAACTCAATATCATATTTCTTTATTGTGCGAATCCCTGATCCTTGAACATGCAAATCATTTCCTCGCATTCATTCTCCACAAAGGTTTTATGGTATATTTCACGCGTTGCTTCGACAGTTGCTCAAGAATTCCGTCTTCATGATTAATTTCATATAATGCTGGTTGAGACGATTTTTCTTGCAATCCTGGAGGTAGACGAGCTGAGACATTCGTTGATTGATTGCGACACAGTATCAAGGAGGGGATCGAGCCAGCGCCTTGCTTATCACTTTGCTTCCCGGATACATCTTATCACTACTGCGCTACTCCACCCCATCACTAAAATAATGAAGTATAGAATGCCTCAGCTTCCAAGCACGTGAGATCCATTGGATGACTCTGAAGGACAAGAGCAATTAGTATGACCTTAGCTGGTGCACTTCATACTGGTTAATGAGATAAGTGGGAGGAGATGTAGCAACCAAAAAGGTAAGATCTTTCGGAGAGAGATTTCAACAGCATCACATTTTCGAAGAACGAAGATTTTGAAATGAGCTCTAACGTTAGGTAAATACAATGGGAAGCAATTAGCAGTACTAGTTAAAAATACTCAGAAATATTGAGGGCAATGAGGATAATTACTTGTTCGAAAAGACATTCACATGGGTAAAAATACGTTTACTACACTTTACATTGTCGTTAATAAACTTCTGCGATAACCTCACTTTATGGTAACTAATACGTTTTAAAACGTCCCTGAAAGACACGTTAAGTAATATAGTGTGAATTAGAAGTTAACAGCAAACAATACAGTCAAAATGATGCGCACGAAAACTTTTACTCATGTTTGCGCCTTGTTACCTCCCAAATTTGCAAATGTTTCAGCGTCTTCTCTTGATTATCTCGAGTCACTCAACCCACCAGAATACACGAAATCAAATAAATCCCTATTATCTATTTCAAAAATGCCCAAACAACGAAGGGAGAGGCATATTAATAGTGACATATGCTTCGCTGAACCATTGTTGTCACGCATAGTTTATTCATTTTTCATCATTCATGTGTTTTTGAATTCACTGCTCAGATAAATACGTCATAAATCGTTGATTTTAGCACGTTCTAGTAGTCTAGAACGTTCGAAAAGCTCTTGCACTTGAAACGGTCACTGACGCCGCATGTCACCTAACTATGGTTGGCGAGAAGGTGATCTGGTAAGCTTCCACGGCGTTGAACGACGATGTACAGAGGCGCGGTTCACATCCCAATTCAACCTCAAAATTCAAGAATCCGACTCCTCCACAGAAAACTCAGCTAAAGGTGGAGCAATGATAAAAACATTTCCGAGCAAATAACAACTTAGTCACAGAGCAGCTGACCAGTTTCCGACTCACAAAAGTAGGTGAGTACTCGTGGAATCAAATTTGACAAATGAGGGGAGGGCGAACACAGCAATAACAACCTCGAAATTGGATCGGAACACAGTTATGCTCAACCAAGTCAGGAGCGAATTTGTATTGGAACACACGCGACTCTCCATAAAGATGGACCAGCAAAGTGAGGTCAGGCCACGAAATCTAAGTAAGTAACAATGTGCACTGCTTGTAACAACGCAGCGGCCATTGATAAGGTGAGAGATCTTGTTTCCCGAGTGCTGCTTGATCGACTGATTGACTACATTCCTAGACTGCTTCGGAATTAGGTTGAAGCCATTTTTAGGTGCGTAGTTCATCATAAGTAATATTGTGGTAAGATAACGATTCAGTACCGATAACAAAGTAATGCTAAAAATAGCAACACCCACGAACTTTTGAAAAGATGTTTGTGGAACTCCCACTTTACAATGGACAATGGCGAGAGATAGAAAATAACTATCATAGAAACGGCGGTGATCTCATCGTTTACGAATGAAACGTAAAGGGCAAAGATTCTGGCGTTAGTCATCCTCTTGAAGAGTCCCTCTCATAAATCATTTTTCACCGTATATATCGTAGATGTGACTAAATCGATGTTTTCCTGTACAGTAAATTGCGAGACGTATCGGCTCACTAACTTTTCGTCCTCCCAGAGAGTCTGTTATTATTTTGTCGACAAGTAAGAGAGCATTGAGAACTCAGGAGCACCTTGAATTAGACCATCGACCACTTGCATATTGTAGGTCACCTCTAATCCCTGCGCTAGACAACAAGTACGGATAAATTCGGTGAAGCGACCTCTTATCTTGATGACTTTATGAGCTTACTGATAACCATTGATATCATCTAGTGTTATGTGATTTGTGGGAATCAGTTCAAAATTATTACATAAAGGTTTATGAGCACTACTTTTGGTGTACCCGTTAGAAGATAACTGCTTATTCCAGCTTCATACGAACGAATCTAGATTCAGTTAACCTTTATTACCTGAAGTAAAAAATCACGATTAACAATTCTTTTACGACAAGGTATGAGTTTAGTTTTTTTATAACGAAGTTCACATTTCCTGGATCTCAAGAAACGTCTTTTCTACACTCTTCTTCGCCAAAACTGGTTTTTTCAAAGCCGATGTAGTTTAACAAGAGCGATTTCATAGTAATAGATGAGAGGGAATTACCAACGCACTGCTGTCTAGTATACTGCCTTACGCCGGGAACTTCAAAGGTCACATTTCAATTCTGAACAATTCTAAAGATGAAAATAAATTTTTCAAAATTATACACACTTTATAGCGATAAAATAAGCCTTTTTATCAAAATCAAAACTGTTAAACTACCTTTTTTGACAACAATTTTTCCCAGTTATGAAAAATCTGCCTATTCTCTCTCTCTCTCTCTCTCTCTCTCTCTCTCTCGTTTGGACTGAGCGTGAAATTTGTAAATTTGAAACTGCGGGGTAAGACTCGTGTCGTAGTTTAGAAGGAACTGACGTTGACACATAGAGTTCCAAGCATGTGGAGACTTGGAGTAACAAGCAATACGCAGAGCACATACGATTCTTAAGTAGAATATCATCGGCATGAGTCAGTGGTGTGAAACAGCGGTGACACACTGGTGTTAGGCGGATGTTCGAGGTGACAAGAAACTATACGTACACATGTATAAGGACCATTAAGTCAGTTTATCGTTGTACAACGAGTGCGGATTTCAGTATGGAAGTTCACATATTAGAACTAGATAGTTGATGTTTATAGTTTTGCAATGATTCCCCTTCAATCGCTTGTGTTTAATGTGTTGCTTTTCAATCACTATCTACAGCACGTTATGGATGTATATTAATTCAAGAAAAGACATGATCTCCAATAGAGTAAAAAACTCGATAGGAAGCAAGGCAGTAATGGATATGCTGGCCACTTAGCTATTAAAC